AAATTAGAATTTTAATTATTATTCTTCGTACAATTTGTATATCACATTTTTCTTTCTATATAATTGTAAAGTTTATTTAATATTTTGTTCATTTTATTTTATTTTATTTTATATCTATCACTATCGCGAAATTATCGTTAGATTTCTTTTTTTTGTTAAAAAGAAATATTAGAAAAGACTTCTTCATGTTTTTTTCCATTGACGCACGAGAAAGTTTCACAGAAAGAATCATTGTAACGTTTGCATAGTGATAATACTACGTAAAATCGTTCTCATGATCATAGTAATAATCTTTGTCCAACGTTTAGTGGAACCAGCGAATAAAATTGATTAAATTCGTTGAATGAGATTTTTGAATGAATCATTTAATATTTTTCTAAATGAATAGTTCATTTTTTTTTATCATTTCATAATCTGATATCATTTATTAATAAATTTATGGATATAAAATATTGTGAATTAATTGTATTGTATTGTATTGTATTTTTTCTAATTTTTTTTAAATTGTTGTACGAAACAACAATTAAAATTTCTATAAATCATTTAATATTTTTGAATTATTTGTTTGTTTTTTCTTTTTCTTTTTCGACAATCTCTTATAATTTAAATAAAACATTGTTAACGCGTTTCTTATACGTGTACATGCGTGTGTGTGTGTGTGTGTGTGTATGAAATTGGAAGCATGCAAAAAATACGTATGTACCTACTGAAATACAATAATTATTTACATGCGTAAATACCTCCGTTCCCGTATTGCTTGTTGTGATATTTGTGAAATGCATTGGGCCCGAAAATTCTCGTAATGTACATCTTGAGTAACATCCTTAAGATCTTGCATATGCGTCGATATCAGCATTGTTCGAAGTTTCACAAAGTCGCTGTGCTTTGGATTCTCGACTATGATCAAAATTTATACTCCGTTCAAGAATATAACACCCTTTTGGATTATTTTATTTTATAAATTAGATAACTGAAAATATCTCATTACTTTTGTTTTTCATTTTTTGCTTTTCGTTATTAACACGAAAATCTATTAATGATATTTCAAATATTATTATCAAGTACTGATTCAATTATTTGACACACTGTGGTTATATATATATAGATTAATAATAATATTAATTAATATAATATCATTAATAAAATATATTAATTAATATGTATTAGTTAATAATAATAAAATATATATATATATATATATATTAATTAATGGAGTAGAAATATGGGGATTGGGGGATATAAAGATGTTTGAAAGGATACAGAGCAGGTATTGTAAAATGGCATTAGGAGTGGAAAGGACAACACCAAAGTATATATGGAGAAGAGAGCTGGGAATCCCAACCATGGAATGCATGATAAGGGAAAGAGCGCTGCGTTATATTAAGGAAGTGCTGGAAATGGAGGATTCAAGGTGGCCAAAAA